AGAAATGGCTTTTATATGAGCACAGGACGAAATTTCAAGAATCCGTAAATGAAAACTTAACGTAAACGCGTAAAACCGTTGCGGAAACATGACGGCAATCACATGTTTCCGTTAGCGGATACATTACGTTTACCCGTGTTTCCGTCGCTGCGGTTTCGGCGAAATCGTACCACTTTTTTATACGTTTCCGTCAAATTTCCGTCTAAGGAAACACGTGTTCCCGCAAGCGTTAACGCGTGGCATCCTTGCGGAAACACGCGAAAACGTTCCGGAAACAAGTCAATTTCATGTTTCCGTCAACGTAATCGGTTGTAACTATTGAGGAAACAAGAGTTTACGAGTCGGAAACTGGTGTTTTCAAGTTATTTCCATCGTGAAAAAAATCGCTTTTCACTATCTTGGGGCGGTTTTCCCGCCATCTATAGTAACAAAAACCCATTCTCTCGACATATTTATTGCACAAAATAATACCAAAGCAATCTTTCCAAGTACTTCCTTTATTCTCCTTGCTTCCTAAATTGACAATGAGGTATTCTTGGTTAAGTTAAATTACATTTTAAGTGTGAGTGCCTATTCACACTAGCAATGAACAAGAATAGTAAGAGGCTTCGTTTAGGAAATCCACTAGAAATTTTCTTTAGGACAACGTGGTGTTTTTTTTTGTAAAGAAAATGTCAAATCTGTTAACAAATTAATATCCTTTATAGCAGATAGTGATAAACACTTCCATGTGGAGCTTATATATGGCTAGTGATAGGTTTGGTTGTCTATAATATTTCAACAAAGTGCAATATGATTTGTCGGGTGAATGTACATTATAGTCCTGAGTAGGACTGTTGTTGACAGCGACTAACGTTTTGACGACAAGGTAATCATCATTTTCATGGGCATTGCCAAAATATCAGTTCCTGTCAACAGTCCCACTAAGTACTATACTAACCTGTATGATCGTATACCACTTACTTATATCACCATTCTGCTTCAGGATAATATTATATTGTGTCAGGAAATTTTCTTACTCTTCTGACATGGTAGGCTAAACTACACAATTTTCTATGACGAGTGCAAAGATTCAAATGCAAAAAACAACAACAACAACAAACAAAGTATGTTTCATGTATACGTTTTAGGTCACTTCTATGCTGAAGTCATCACTTAGTGTCTTTACCCATACACAAAATGCTCGACTTGTAGAATTGTGAAGAAGATACATGAATCAAGCCAATTTCATCAGGATGTACAAACCATAATAATTCTTGGTGATTTACGCAGTCAGAGTATTATTTTAAGCTTGAAAAAGTTGGCCAAGTGTCAATCCATGTTCATCCTTGTCATACATAGCAAGAGGTGACAGGAAACAGTCTCAATGCCTGAATCAAGTATTAAATAACAAAACTGGACCATTATTTTTGGAGCTTAATTTACGCCACGACACATTTAAGCCTCTCACAGAACAAAATATAGCATAACCTAGCCCTTTTTAAGCAATATAAAATGCCTTTCTGGAAAAGATGTTCACAAAGTTCTAATAATTATTATTGTTATACATGATTATGCGTTATTGACCAACATTCGGTCAAGATGGGGGGATATTGGCCAAACTCTTTTTTACGAGGCCAGTACCCAGCTATCTTCACCAAACAAGCTTGATTGGTTTGCCCACATGAGTAGCTAATTAGATCACAGGATTTGCTTCATGCATCTTGCCCGCTCATGGATTCAACCATAAAATTGTGATAAATAATTATGCTTTATTGACTGGGTGTGAGGTTAAGATGGCTGGATATTTGCATCTTTATTGACCCTGCCTTCCTCTTGAAAGGCTGTGCTCTAAGAACAATTGAAGGCAGCCCAGCACTCTCAACTTGTGAAATCCAGTGTGCCCAACAAAAGATGTTTCTATGAAAAAGCAAAGATTTTCTGGACACCCGAGAACAAAAGTTACAGATGTAGGTGCCACGGGCCACAGAGCACAGCCTGGTCTTGGTCAATAAAAATGCAAAAATGAATGAGGCCAATATTCAGCCATCTTGAACGAACAAGCTTGGTCAATAAATGAATTATTACATGGCCAAGAAGAGAACTTTTACTTGCGGGACCAATGCGGGAAATCCCAAGTGGGTAAAAAGGGCTCATCTTGCCCGCTTGATATTTTAAAAATGTCGAGGAACAAGTCATTCGACGTCAGAGCAAGGTTTGGAGCAGTTTATAGTGCTTCTAAAACTAAAAAGTACCTTTTAAAGAATAGCACGATAGGCAATCAGCTTTTGTTTTCATTTTTAGCAAACACTGAAGTTACTTGTCCCGAAAATTTGAACTGGTGGCTCCTTCTACCTGATAGTAATTTATTTTTGAAATTCCAAAACAATTTCACAGCTGAATTTTGAGCGACTTTTAGTTACTGACTTCTGCTCCAACGATTTTTCTGAAATTTCTTTGGCACATTTATTATGTCAATGAAAGCCGATACCAAAAATTTCAATAAAAAGTACTAGACGCGATTTTCTTTGAACACCAGGGTCCGTTTAAGCGCTAATTTCTCAAGAAATATTTACCATCAATAAAATCGGAATATTTCGTACTATTGCCGAATGATATCTGTTGTTCGTTGCAAAGTTTCGCAGCCATCGCTCTTAAAACGAAAAAGTTATAACGGAAAATTTGTCACAGCCAAATGCTCCAATATTAATGACGGAGCCACCTTAAAAGGGCCAGTCTCGGTTGCTTGGAGATTAGATAGGAGATAAGGAGGCGATTAATTCTACACGAAGCAGGATTTCTTCGCTTAAAGGTTTCACTTCCCACTTTATCGACGGTCGTATATTCTTCAGAAAATTCAATAAATTCAGAATATTTAATGAATATTTTCTTCAAAATATATGCGTGTACAAATACAAATCATTGCTAGAAAGTAAAAACGTAATGAACATGGCGCGTCATTTCAATCATCGCCAAAAATAAACCGCATGCTCATCACAAGACTCATTTTCATACCATGAAAGTTTACAACGCCCGACCAGTTTATAGCCTCACCATCGAAGTTTTCACTGAAGCATTCACCTGTTCCAAAGTAATCAACGCTTTCAAGCAACAGAATTCGTGGACCGACCCGTTCCCGGAAAGCTCAACATCTCTGCATCAATCTTTCCTAAGCTTTGTTTACAAAATAGAGCATGGCGCTGTGACAGGTAGCAATTCCCATCTTCAGTTTCCACGATCTCCGCTAGTAACGCATGGGACCATGATTCCCTTTTGGCGCGCACACAAACGAGACTAACTACCTACTGTGCTGGTCTATGTTTTAAAAGCTTAGCTAGTAATTTTCTTTTTTTTTCGGGGAACAAGTTTCTTCTCTCAACTCAAAAGACTCGTCGTTTGTCACAGTTACTAAAACAAAAGGGCGTTATCAATCATTTGCCCCAGTCTGTCTTATGACGAGGCACTTAATGAAACTGGTATTCCGACCATTATTTCATATTGCGAGGACATATGTGACAAGGTTTTTAACGCTGCCCTCTGCAACAAGGATAACAAACTTAACAAGTTATTAACTGAAGCCAATAAGGCTCCATATTTACTAAGAAATCACCGATACTTTGCACTTCCAAAGTGGAAAACGGACCGTTTTAAGAACACTTTTATTTTGTCATCGTGCCTAATTAAAGTACAATTAAATGATTCGGTTTGAATGCTTTTATATATTATATGCATGAATTTTTAATATATTTAATATTGATGTATGGTAAATTATTTTATTTTTAGCTTAGTTTTATTCGTAAATACGCAATTTAGCCTCTGGCTGCCCACGTATTTATTTTTGAATAATGGGCGTTTGTTTCGCTTAAGTCCAGTAAACATGTAGGATTGGTCTCAGACCTAATAGTCCGCGCTTCCTCTAAACGATCGTTTAACTCTTTCCTGTTTGACTTTCTGTTTACGATTCACCGCAAACCAGGTGCCATTTCTACTTTGATATCGCGGCAATAGTTTCGAATAACTTACTTCCATTTGACTGACGAACTTTATCCTAATACAATTAAAGAATAATACAAGAATATTTTCAGCCCAAAATCGGCAGAGAAAAATAAGAATATTCAGCCTATGTCTTTTAAACTGAAGCTATATAATACGACTTACATCGTATTAGCTGCTTTAATTATTAAGGAACAGATGATTTATTAAGTAACTAGGGTGCTGTATCTTTAGGCCGCCTCACACTCTTTAAGTCACCCGTGAACATGCAGTTTATCAAAAAATGAGTTCATGGGTCCAGCAAATACTGTTGGATTGGTTTGCGACGTAAAAGTTCCGTTTTCCTCTCAAGTCACCTCTCAGCTCGTTCTGTCTGACTGTATGTTTGCGATTCATGATTGAAACCCAACTGCCTTTTGCTTATTCAATATTGCATCAGTAGTTTCATATAACTTCCTTCCTTTTTAACTGACGAACTTCAACATTTATACGACCTATTGCGTTTCGCTTGAAAGAAGATTAATACTAATTACTGTGCGATGATGACGTTACATTTAAAGTTTTAATTCCGGGTTCAGACATGCAAAGTTTCAATTTCAAGCAAGGTGAGAGTTTGGATAATGTGAGCACGACTTAGGGACTTTTTTTACTAACTCCACAGTACTCAGTTAAAAACCAATTGTTATTCGAAGAGGAAGTCTGGAGAATATTCAGTAAGTCTCGCAAAGAGTAATTTCCAGCGTCAGTCTCGTGCAAAAAAGAAAAAAATTGCAGAGTTCCTCAAAAGTACGGCAGCTGAAACTTAAGACTGTATATAACGCTCCATTCAATGGTGGAAGCTGAAGATCAGTCTCATTCAAAAACGGATGAAACCTAGAAAGCAATGAAATTCTTTGCATATCATAGAAACTGAACGCTGATTAGGGTTATGTAAAAAAAAAATGGCAAGTGCTGAAGGCTTGCATTTGACACTTGTTTTCTTCAACGCTTTCTTGTCTCTCACCGCCATCGTATTAAACATCATAACCATGCAAGCGCTCAGAAAAACGTCGTCGTTGCCTAAGACTTTAAAAACATTGTTACTAAGCCTGGCTGTGTCTGATCTGGGTGTAGGCTTACTTGTCGAACCACTATTTGTTGCATTTCTTGTGATGGAAAAAAACAGTACTGCTTATTCTACAGTAAAGTTAGCGCGTTCAATCCCGGCAAAAATATTGGTCTTTGCTTCGCATTTTGGTGTTTTTGCATTAGTTGTGGACAGATTCTTGGCCATTCAGCTTCATCTCAGATATCAAGAGCTTGTGACCCACAAACGTGTTGTTGCTGTTGTGATCTCACTCTGGGTGTTTAGTGCATCAATTTCCTTCCGAAGTCCTCGTATTATGCGAGCGGTCATTGCACTTGTTTGTGTCATAACTACAGGATTGCTTTATTGCAAGATATACGCTTCCGTGAGACACCACACAAATCAGATTCACCGTGACGCTCTGCAAGTACAACAGGCGACACAGAATGAAGATATGGCAAATGCCGCAAGGCTGAAAAAATCTTCACTGGCTACATTCTACGTTTATTTCGTGTATTTAGTTTGCTATTTGCCATTGTATTGTGTTGTTTTTGCCCAGACCAATGGTGAAACTCCTTGTTATCTCATTTATCTTATTTCACAAGGACTCTTGTGTATCTCAATTCATCCCTCAATCCCTTGATCTACTGCTGGAAGATGAGACACATTCGACAAACTGTTATGGATATACTTAGAAATATTTTCGCGATTTGTCCCCACTAAAGAAAGGATCTAACTGAGAATAACTTAATCGGCCTTTTCTCTCTGAGTGGTGAAAATATTAGCTTTCCAGCAATACAATTGGAAAAATGACACTAAATATAAACGGGAACTGAAACCTTCTTGTACTCTCTGTTTGAAGGCCAAGGGATAAATATATGATCGAGTGAGTATAAGTTCATGAGATTTCAGTTTGCTTTTAAATAATTAACAAATAACGGGAAACTTTGAAAGTATTATTTATCAAAGTCAGAAAGAGGGCAAAAAGAAAAAGCTGGGTGGTTTAGGACGAATGACGAGTGACGTGATAAATAGAGGACCGGGTTTCCAAATTTTCATGGGCAAAAAGTTCTGTGTACAGTAAAGTGTCTTAGAAAGTTTACTAGATTTTGTTAACCATAGTGCATCCAATAAAGAAGACTAACTAAAGAGGAGAGAGATCAAAACTATGTCAATAAATCTTCCATACTGAATGTACCAAGAGTGGCGAAAAGATTGACCGATATAACAACAACAACAACAACAACAACACATAATAATAATTATTATTATAATAAAAATAATAAGAATAATACTAATAAGAATAATAATGATAAGAAGAACAAGACAGCCTATTTGTTGAGAGAGAAGAAAACTAGTAGTTTATACTGTTGTGAATATATATTGCAATACTTGTAATTGATTCATATCAATAAAGTTCACGTGAAAAAGCTAAAATGTTTTGAAGAATGGTAAAAATATATCATTTAATCAGGGTTTTTTTTAATTTGTTGAGTCCAGAAATTACTGAATAAGATCACTACATTTGAAAGTTTCAGACTGGGAAAGAAAGAGCTTCCCTGACAGCGCAACCGATCAGAACAAATGATATAGCTTATGACATCATAATACTTTAAAATACCATAATACGGAACCTGAGAGCAGACATAATATTTTATGGCTCCAATATCAATCAAAGTGCTTCTTGCTCTGAGATTAAAAACTTAGAACCATATAATGTTTGACGAAACAATTAAGTACAATGCCCAGGGTTGAACCTAAGTAAACAGTTTCCTCATGTCCCAGTTCAACGACTTGCAAGCAACTCTCGGTACGTGCGTTTACAATAACGTTAAAACTTTGTACGAGACCGTACTTAATGTTTCCGTAGTCATTTAGAACGAGCGAGTCCAAAAAAAGTAATTATTGTAACCAATGATGTAGAACAGAACAACAGCGATAACAACATGGAAATGAAAAAAAGAAAGATTAATGAATTCATATTTCAAATCTTTTTAAAACAGTATTCTTATCTCAATATAGATTCGTTAATAAATGAAATGAAAAGAACTTAAACTTTTCTTTTGTTAATAAATGAAAAATAAAGAATTGAAAGTTTCAGTCTTGTTTCTATTTATGTGCTTGTGGCTTCACTGGCCTCTACATCTACATCTACATCTACATCTACATCTACAAGGGTCCGTGCACACTTCGGCCAATCTAATTTTCTATTTTTCCAACAAAAACGGAAAAAGGAAATATTACTTATCGTTATCATAGTTACATATTTAAAAGTACAGAAAAAAATAGAAAAAAAAAATGGTCAGGAAAACTGATCATTTTTTCATTTTCCTAATTCTGAAGTCCGCTTCAAAAATTCAAAAAATACTGTAAACGGCTAAAAGCGATATTTTGCTATTTCTTATTTTCTTGATATTGTTAGAGCAATTTTCCATTTTTTTTTATTTTGGATGAATAGAACAACTTTAACGATACACCCTTTCAGACAGTTTCATTTTTCATTTTATTGAAAAATGGCGCAGAAAAGTGAGAAGTTATGAATATTTAACGGTGAAGAAAGGAAAAACCTAATTCGTATCCACTATCGACTCACTAATTTGGTTAGAAGATTTACACAGGGTCGGCGGAGATGTGGGTGAATTTTTTTTTTTTGGGGGGGGGGGGGCGCCTTAGTTTTCGAGATGCGGACGTAGTTCCATTCTCTTTTGATCTCGATTTCCCCTGAAGGTTTGAGTTGTCGGGAGTCGACTGTGGTCGTGGAAATGAAGAATATGAGAAAGGGTACGAGGGAGGAGGAGAAGGCGTGAAAATTGGTACGGGAAAGGGGGGGGTTAACTCGACGGTTTTCATGCCAGCAACACTATGGTCCCAGCACAAAAAAAGCGGTTCGTGAGAGATATTAAGAGGAAAACAAGAAGGTCGTTGAACAGTCACAAGCACAAAATAAATAAAGAGCGCCCCAGTGAAGAGGTCAGACGTTTTTAAATTAAACAGTTGTTCAAAAGTAGACTGCTTAGCCTGCCGAAATAACGGATCTTGCCGCAGAACGGGTGTTTTAGGATTGCAAGAGTAAAGTATATTGAACTATTATTATGGAGGAGAAAAATAAAGAGGCGCCTAGTATACACTCGCTGGAAAGAACATCTTAATGCTCTGGCCCATACATTTGCTCATACATGTGTTTAAACATTGGATAGCGACGATCCACCGGATAAATCACTATCCAGCGGCCTGATCATTTTTCATGTATTTTAGGGAAACCAATTGCGTTATCCACTGGATAGTTATCCACCTTTTAAGCAACTCAGCCCTGGAAAGAGGAGAGCAAAGAGCAAGTATGGGGAAACGTCCCACAGTTTAAATGCAACAGGAACACTTTATGGTTACGAGATGTTAGATCAGGTCACAGAGTAAGTCCTAAGTAATGAGGTAAAGGAATCAGCTAATCAAATCCAAAACTGAATGAAACTACGTTCACATTCCGAGAACTAAAGGACCCAAACCCACCCTCCCCATCCCACGCCTCCGCCGACCCTGTGTAAATCGTCTAACACTAAAACTAGTGAGTCTAAAGTGGATTAGGTTTTTCTTTTCTTTATTGGCAAATGCTCATGATTTGTCATTTTCATTTGCTCTTTTTCATTAAAACAAAAGATGAAAAATTGTCCGTTTTTGTTTGTTTGTTTGTTTTCTATTTATTGAAAAAATGAAAAAATTGTTCGCAACACTTTTCATTTTTTTCATTTTTCTTGTTAAAATGGAATTATGGAAAATTAGGCGACAGGTACGCTATTTTTCTATTTTTTCACTTTTTGAACAAAATGGAAAAAATGAAAAAAATGGTGGGAATAAATATTATTTTTTCATTTTTCCGTTTTTCTATTTTTTGCGAAAAACGGAAAAATAGAAAAATGAGTTAAGAATCGGAGATTATTTCATTTTTCTCATTTTCTAACAATATCAAGAAAATAAAAAATAGCAAAATATCGCTTTTCGTCGTTTACAGTATTTTTTGAATTTTTCAAGAAGCGGACTTCAAAATTAGGAAAATGAAAAAATGATCAATTTTCCTGACCATTTTCTTTTTTTCTATTTTTTTCTGTACTTTTAAATATGTAAATATGATAACGATAAGTAATATTTCCTTTTTCCGTTTTTGTTGGAAAAATAGAAAATTAGATTGGCCGAAGTGTGCACGGACCCATAATCTCTTCTGTAATTTCGTAATTATTGTATGTCTTGTATCTTTATATCATTAGAATAATATATTTTGAATTCATTATTGTAATTAATCTCTGTAATTTCGTAATTATATTGTACATCCTTATGTCATTAGAAAAATATTGTATATTGGGTAATAGACACGTCTCCATACTACCTGCCTCGATTAGCTCTGCTATTTTGCAGGTAGTCTGTATTTGTAATTTATTTATTGTGAATGTATACAAATAAAGTTTGTTGTATGACAACATCGTATATTTTCCACTATTCTTAAACTAAAATGTGTTTTCTCCTACACATTGTTTTTCCTGTTCTTTGGTTACGAGCGCTCTTTCATAATCATGGAAGTTCCCCCACAATTTCTATTTCAAGGGAGGGGGGAAGACACGTATCCTCTGGTCATTTAGCAACTTTTAACCGCAAAGAAAAACACAAGACATACACACTTCATACACACTGAAGTTTTTTTTTGGCCCACAATGTAACTTCTGGGTCAACTAGCTAAATGTGCCAGCCAATAAAGACAATAATTAAAGTCTAATGTTTTTACTACCTTCATTTAGAAAAGGCTATTCGAGTCAGGGAGGGGGCTGAGGCTAATTATTGTTACATCAGTTTTATCCAAAAAAACCATTTTACCACTTCCTTACGTGTATTTGTATAAGAAGACATTTTACAAGGAAATAAGCGAGTTTTTTTGTTTATTTGGTACGCATTAAACTGCTCGCAATGATATTGTTTTCGATACATTTTCAATAAAATGAAATTGAGAAATAGTTGATTGTCGTTTAAGGCATACATTGCGTTTTTGCAACATGATTACTCATCGAATTGCCACGTCGTGTTGGCTGGTGGCTACAATGGATAATTTAAACACTCTGATCATTTGCTACTGATTAAACTTTGACACACAAGACAGCATGATTTGTTTAAGTAACTACCTACTGTGTCTTTGTTTAACACCCAAGCTAGCAAGTTTTTTTTTCATGGATAATAATTTTCTTATCTAAACTCCTCCCTGTAACTAGTCGTAGATCGTTTTTATCAAAAGGTCTGCCTCATATTTTTTGCTTGGATCCAGTAAATACATCGGATTGGTCTCCGATTTCTTTTTGTATGATTTTCTATTAGCGATTCATTGCGACCAGCTGTTGTTAATACATTAATATTGCTTTAGTAGTTTCAATCTCTTCGTTTTTGATCATGACCGACGAAATTCATCACTTAGTACAAAGTTCGACCTATTCTCATTCGTATAAAAGCCGCCGCGTGACGATTTTTAATCAACTAGATTAGTGTGTGCTCCCCCGCGAAGCAGTCTATTGGTCCTTTACGGTCCCCAGGGAAATTCCCTAGGCCTTTTATACGCCCTAGCAAACAAATTGACCGTCTTCTCACAAGTCTACTCTACAACGGGCAAGCAAGTTTCATTCTTCCGCAACGCGAACAGCGCCGCTGAAGCTCTTTCATGGCTCTCGTCCCTGTTTAACCAGACCCAGCTGATGCGGTAAATATTGCTTGGACAGAGCCTCAACCAGCACCAACACCATCCTCCTAAGTATCATGTTTTAATTTCTCGCTTCCCCCTTTTCTTGTCAATTTGTCACATACGTGGCGTTTATCTTTTTCACCATTCTGTTCTGGAGTTTGTTTACGTTAGCGCTTTTAGGCGTCTGTGCAACGTACCAGAGGTAAGGCGACCCTTATTTGATTATTGTCGCGCCTTTTGCGTCTGTTACAGTAGAACGAAAACGAGCTGGAACATATTTACGTTGGCGCTTCATGGCGTCTGTGAAACGTAAAGGAGAATCTCAACAGTGCAGTTCAGTGGAATGTATTTAATTACGTTGGCGCCCTTCGGCGTCTGTGAAACGTATAATGAAGAGCAAGACATTATACGTTGACGCTTGTTAGCGTTTGTGAAACGTAAAGGAGGATCCCAGCAGCTCTACTCAGTGGCATGTTTTTAATCAGTTACGTTGGCGCCTTTTGGCTTCTGTGAAACGTACAATCAAGGGATAGACATTACGTTGACGCTTCTTAGCGTTTGTGAAACGTAAACGAAGATCTCACCAATGCAGTTCGGTGGCATGTTTTTAATTTCGTTGGTGCCCTTTAACGTCTGTGAAACGTACAATGACGAACAGACATCTTTGGCTTTACTTCGCGACCGTCCATCGTACATTTGGTCTACAGTCTTTGATGCTTTATGGCATTTTACGTGTATGTATTGAAAGATTTTAGAATAAGGTGGCCAGTTGTTTATTTTTCCCGTTCGTTTCCTACTCATTGTATTGTCAACATTTTGTATAATTTCTGCACATTGCATTGTCAGCATACTCCGTGCCCCCTCGCAGTTAAGGTGACGTAACTCCTAGATATCAGTAACCACATTCTCTTTACTCTAGTGTACAGCCTTAATAAATTTGCACCAGTTTCCTTGTATATTATATTTTTCTTTGGCTTTTGCTTCCTATATTTCCTTACCCCACACTTGAGTCGTGCTCAGTAGGGGTTCCTAAACACACCCCTCATCCAGTCTTCGGACGGTGTCCTGACTCGACTCAACTGTGGGGTTCCCTCCCAACCTCCCTCTATCGCAGGGTCTTTCCTTCTTTTTATCTCCTCCCATTCGGATTTCCCTAACCGGGTTACACATGCTGCAAGTCACTCTTCAGCTTTCCTTTAGCGTATCCGGGAGGGACAGCCCCACAGTTGGGCCGGGCCACTCCCCTCAATTGAATCCGTCACATCTGGGAGGCATTACGCCAACACTGCCCATCTCTCTAAGGGAGTTTTTCTGGGTTTTTCTGAGTTTCGGGAAGATTTGGCTGTACTGCAAGTTAATGAGGTATTCTGCAATAATTTACCGTCTTTTGGATGAGTCTATAGCACCCCTGGTGTCGGGCAAAATTTTTCACCCATAACTTATACATCAAAAGGCATAAGGTGGCTTTTATGCGAATGTGAATTAGTTACTATTCTCATTCGTATAAAAGCCGCCGCGTGACGATTTAATCAACTAGATTAGTGTGTGCCCCCCCGCGAAGCAGTCTATTGGTCCTTTACGGTCCCCAGGGAAATTCCCTAGGCCTTTTATACGCCCTAGCAAACAAATTGACCGTCTTCTCGCAAGTCTACTCTACAACGGGCAAGCAAGTTTCATTCTTCCGCAACGCGAACAGCGCCGCTGAAGCTCTTTCATGGCTCTCGTCCCTGTTTAACCAGACCCAGCTGATGCGGTAAATATTGCTTGGACAGAGCCTCAACCAGCACCAACACCATCCTCCTAAGTATCATGTTTTAATTTCTCGCTTCCCCCTTTTCTTGTCAATTTGTCACATACGTGGCGTTTATCTTTTTCACCATTCTGTTCAGGAGTTTGTTTACGTTAGCGCTTTTAGGCGTCTGTGCAACGTACCAGAGGTAAGGCGACCCTTATTTGATTATTGTCGCGCCTTTTGCGTCTGTTACAGTAGAACGAAAACGAGCTGGAACATATTTACGTTGGCGCTTCATGGCGTCTGTGAAACGTAAAGGAGAATCTCAACAGTGCAGTTCAGTGGAATGTATTTAATTACGTTGGCGCCCTTCGGCGTCTGTGAAACGTATAATGAAGAGCAAGACATTATACGTTGACGCTTGTTAGCGTTTGTGAAACGTAAAGGAGGATCCCAGCAGCTCTACTCAGTGGCATGTTTTTAATCAGTTACGTTGGCGCCTTTTGGCTTCTGTGAAACGTACAATCAAGGGATAGACATTACGTTGACGCTTCTTAGCGTTTGTGAAACGTAAACGAAGATCTCACCAATGCAGTTCGGTGGCATGTTTTTAATTTCGTTGGTGCCCTTTAACGTCTGTGAAACGTACAATGACGAACAGACATCTTTGGCTTTTTACTTCGCGACCGTCCATCGTACATTTGGTCTACAGTCTTTGATGCTTTATGGCATTTTACGTGTATGTATTGAAAGATTTTAGAATAAGGTGGCCAGTTGTTTATTTTTCCCGTTCGTTTCCTACTCATTGTATTGTCAACATTTTGTATAATTTCTGCACATTGCATTGTCAGCATACTCCGTGCCCCTCGCAGTTAAGGTGACGTAACTCCTAGATATCAGTAACCACATTCTCTTTACTCTAGTGTACAGCCTTAATAAATTTGCACCAGTTTCCTTGTATATTATATTTTTCTTTGGCTTTTGCTTCCTATATTTCCTTACCCCACACTTGAGTCGTGCTCAGTAGGGGTTCCTAAACACACCCCTCATCCAGTCTTCGGACGGTGTCCTGACTCGACTCAACTGTGGGGTTCCCTCCCAACCTCCCTCTATCGCAGGGTCTTTCCTTCTTTTTATCTCCTCCCATTCGGATTTCCCTAACCGGGTTACACATGCTGCAAGTCACTCTTCAGCTTTCCTTTAGCGTATCCGGGAGGGACAGCCCCACAGTTGGGCCGGGCCACTCCCCTCAATTGAATCCGTCACATCTGGGAGGCATTACGCCAACACTGCCCATCTCTCTAAGGGAGTTTTTCTGGGTTTTTCTGAGTTTCGGGGAGATTTGGCTGTACTGCAAGTTAATGAGGTATTCTGCAATAATTTACCGTCTTTTGGATGAGTCTATAGCACCCCTGGTGTCGGGCAAAATTTTTCACCCATAACTTATCCATCAAAAGGCATAAGGTGGCTTTTATGCGAATGTGAATTAGTTACTATTCTCATTCGTATAAAAGCCGCCGCGTGACGATTTAATCAACTAGATTAGTGTGTGCCCCCCCGCGAAGCAGTCTATTGGTCCTTTACGGTCCCCAGGGAAATTCCCTAGGCCTTTTATACGCCCTAGCAAACAAATTGACCGTCTTCTCGCAAGTCTACTCTACAACGGGCAAGCAAGTTTCCCCACCCTCCTCCCCTTCAGCGGCGCTGGCAAATTTTCTCTATCAGCCCACATTATGCCTTATGCAAAATTTTTCACCCATAACTTATCCATCAAAAGGCATAAGGTGGCTTTTATGCGAATGTGAATTAGTTACTATCGCGTTTCGGTTTAAATGAAAATATATTCAAATTACTGTGTGATGAGGACTTTATAAATTATGAATTACGGGCTCTGTTTTAATGCTCTGCTCTTGTTTTAATTCCAAACAAGGGAATATTTCGGATGCTACGAGTACAACTTTATGTGTCAATGAAGGGAGAAAGTATCGTCTTGTTTATTAAATGCGCATTAAATTGCAAGCAATGATGAACTTTCTTTATATTAACCTAAAAAGCTGGAGATAAATAAATATGATTCACGTTTTGATAGCTGCCTCGGATGAATTTAATACCACTATCCATTAAGTAAGTTAATAAAGCATAGTATATGGTCCTTGATTACTTTCTTAATAAAATGAAATTGAAACACACTTCTCGAGTTGATTGTAGTTTAAGGCATATATTACTTTTTTGGAATATGATTACTCATTGAATTGCCTCCTGGTGTTGGCTGGTTTCATTAAGCTGAGACTCAGACAATGGGCCGGTGTTTTAGACGTTCTGATCGTTTGCAGCTGATCAAGTCTGACACATATATGACCGAATGACTTTTTAAGTAACTACCCACTGCATCTTTGTTTTAAAACTCCAGCTAGTAAGTTTTTTTATAGGAAATGTCTTTTTTTTCTGAACCCCCAGTCCTAAGACTCGTCGTAAGTCGTATTTCATTAAAACTTGGGCGTTTTTTATAGTTTTTACTTGAGTTCAGCAAACACGTTGGATTGGTGTCCGACCTAATAGTCAGCTTTTAACGCCTTCCAAACTAAAATGTGGATTTCCAATTTGGAAAAATCCAGAAGAGTATTGGCATTTGATACTGAAAAACTTTGTGTTTCTGAAAGGCTTTCGCTAATTAGAAGGAGAAAAAATAGTGTTCAGTTGTGTCCACAACTGGCGCGCACATAAGCGAGACTAACTACCTACTGTGCTGGTCTATGTTTTAAAAGCTTAGCTAGTAATTTTTTTTACGGGGAACAAGTTTCTTCTCTCATGTCAAGAGACTCGTCGTTTGTCATAGTTACTAAAAAAACGTGCGTTTGTTTCGCTTTAGTCCAGCAAACATGTAGGATTGGTCTCATACTTAATAGTCTGCATTTCCTCTAACCAATTGCTTAACTCTTTTCTGTTTGACTTTGTGTTTACGATTCACCACAAACCAGCTGCCATTTCTACTTTGATATCGCGCCAATAGTTTCGAATAACTCACTTCCATTTGACTGACGAACTTTATCCTGATACAATTAAAGAATTATAATACAAAAATATTTTCAGCCTAAAATCGGTAGAAAAAACATAATATTCAGCCTGTGTGTTTTAAACTGAAGAAACTGAAGCTATATAATACGACTTGCATCTTATTAGTTGCTTTAATTATTAAGGAACAGATGATTTATTAAGTGACTAGGGTGCTGTATCTTTAGGCTGCCTCACACTCTTTAAGTCACCCGTGAGCATGCAATTTATCAGAAAATGCGTTCATGGGTCCAGCAAATACTGTTGGATTGGTTTTCGACGTAAAAATTCCGTTTTCCTCTCAAGTCGCCTCTCAGCTCGTTCTGTCTGACTGTATGTTTGCGATTCATGATTGAAAACCAACTGCCTTTTGCTTATTTAATATTGCATCATTAGTTTCATATAACTTCCTTTCTTTTTAACTGACGAACTTCAACATTTATCCGACCTATTGCGTTTCGCTTGAAAGAAAATTAATACTAATTACTGTGTGATGATAACGTTACATTTAAAGTTTCAACTCCGGGTTCAGACATGCAAAGTTTCAATTTCAAGCAAGGTGAGAGTTTGGATATTGTGAGCACGACTTAGGGACTTTTTTTACTAACTCCACAGTTCTCAGTTAAAAACCAATTGCCATCGGAGGAGGAAGTCTGGAGAATATTCAGTAAGTCTCGCAAAGAGTAATTTCCAGCGTCAGTCTCATGCAAAAAAGAAAAAAATTGCAGAGTTCCTCAAAAGTACAGCTGCTGAAACTTAAGACTGTATATAACGCTCCATTCAATGGTGGAAGCTGAAGATCAGTCTCATTCAAAAACGGATGAAACCTAGAAAGCAATGAAATTCAGATCTTTACGTATTATAGAAACTGAACGCTGATTAGGGCTATGTAAAAAAAAAAGATGGCGAGTGCGGAAGGCTTGAATTTGACATTTGTTTTCTTCAACGCTTTCTTGTCTTTCACCGCCATCGTATTAAACATCATAACCATGCAAGCGCTCAGAAAAACGTCGTCGTTGCCTAAGACTTTAAAAACATTGCTACTAAGCTTGGCTGTGTCTGATCTGGGTGTAGGCTTACTTGTCCATCCACTGTATGTTGCAACTCTTGTGATAGAAAAAAACAGTACCGCTTATTCTACAGTAGAGTTAGCGCGTTCAATCCAGGCAAAAATATTGGTCTTTGCTTCGAATTTTGGTGTTTTTGCATTAGCTGTGGACAGATTCTTGGCCATTCATCTTCATCTCAGATATCAGGAGCTTGTGACTCACAAACGAGTTGTTGCTGTTGTGATCTCAGTCTGGGTGTTTAGTGCATCAATTTCCTATCCAAGTCATCGTATTATGCGAGCGGTCATTGTAGTTGTTTGTGTCACAACTACAGGATTGCTTTATTGCAAAATATACGCTTCCGTCAGACACCACACAAATCAGATTCACGCTCTGCAAGTGCGAATGAAGATATGA